CCTGACATCGAACTGCCAGCTCCCGGAGTGAGTGCTTCTCGAAGACTGGTGGTAATTTATTAAAATTGGAATCGACGGTGTGCTGCGAGAAGTGTTAGCCGAATGGTTAGCATGAGAGACTCTCACGCCGCGGTAGTGGATTCGATTCCCACCGTCGCCTCTGGCCCTTTTTTCACAATAACCCCCCCCCCCAATTTGAACACACATATATGAATTGTCACATGGCTAATATGCATAGTTCATAACGCCAAAAAAAAAAAAAAAAAATACACTACAGCCTCTTCGGAAAATCTATAGTAAAGACAAAAATATAAGCAAAGAGGTACCCCGGAGAATGCTAATCTACCTTAGGTTGAAATTTCTGGTGTTTAAAAATCAAGAAGTGTCAATTCCTGATTAGATCTTTTAGTTCTCAGTGAAAGAAATGGAGATTTTTGTTACCAATGACTCCGAGAAAACAAACTTTATAATAGAAATATATAAAAATGACAATTAAAAAAATGTTTTTCTTCTTTCGACTATTTTAGACAAATACAAAAATATGATTAGATTGATGAGTAGCACATCATAAGTCCGATTGTCTCTGACCTAAAATGACACGATCAGATCAGTTCAATTTTCATCGGTCCAGTTGTAAGTGTAACTTTCTCCGGAGTATATTACAAATTGCAATCTACTTGCCTCCGCAAGAGGACCGTCTGGTCTACCGACCAATTTGGATTTTACGTCTGTTATTTGGAACATTTGAAACCACTAAACGCCTTGGATTTTTCCAATACTGAACACTTCAAAAGCTCAGACAAGCCTGCAGAAAAAATATTCATAGCACGCTTTAAAATTAACATATTATCTTATCGTTAAAAATAATATCTTTCATGAATTTTGGCTATTAACATAATTGACTTTATATAATTCTCTTTATTAAAAACGGCTTGTATACACTCAACTATACCAACCTCAACATCTTCATAAAACAATAGAATTCCATTAATACCCGTTGATGTTAGACTTTTGATAAATTGCCACTTGTTACGCCATTTCTGAATACGACTCATATTCAGTAGCTTATGCGCAACACCCGGAAAAAACTTCGAACCTGGTTATAAACTTAAAAATTGCCCTGTTCATTATAAATACTAGTTCATTTATCTTATCTAGATCCCTCTGACACGGAAGACTCGGATATAAGTACAGGCTTCCTTTCTTTAAACCAATTAAGAGATTATTTCATTATATATTGTTATTAAATATTATTATTACAATGCAGGTCAAAAACCAGCTACTAACATTATCAAAATCCTAAGCAGAATAAATATGGAACATGAATATTTTTTTTTTTTATATCCTTCATCTAAAAATGAATTGGCATAATAATATAAAACATCTCTTGAAGCAGGTTTCAATGTCATAATAATAACGAAATTGCTAGACATCCTGCTAAATGAAATGCCTAATTTTTTAAAAATCGTTATCCTCTGTACAATACTTCAATCTGTTCCTTTGGTTTATACAGATGGTTTTATACAGATATTTTACATAAAATTAAAAAAAAAAAAAACTTTTTTGGTCGATTTGTTATGTTAGTCCGAATTCGTTTCTAAGCTCCCACGTTTCCTACTAATTTCACCGCAATCATAATCGCTTCCTTATTGAAGAAAGAAAAATAATTTTATAAGTAGCCATGAGATATCATTAATGTGTTTGTATAATAGTTTCTTAATTCATCATTCTGGGTGAAACGGAATCATTTTCTTACATGGTTTCCTCACCAGAGTATAAAACGTCCATGGCTTTTAATTTATTTAAAATCAACCGTTTATTTTAATCCGTTTGGATTATTTTTCATAAGACTGGACAGAATTTTAATCATCCCGTGACCTTATATTAAGGTAATATCAACGATGAGTCTACAAAATCAACTTTTATACATATGAAATCTTCTTTCTTGCGACTTTCTTTTCTGGCGTTCTCTCCCAGTTTTATTCAGTCAATCTCGTCTAATTTATCTCGTACTACTAAGAAACTGCGAGGTTGCAGTAACGAAATTCATTATTTTTGTGTTCACACTGCCTACGACTGTTGAATTTTGAATATATTTTATCCATTTGTATATTGATACTTTAATAAAACAATCAAATTATGAAAATGGTTCGTTAACGACTTAAGAATTTGCAATTTAGGGACTCAACTATAACTTTCGGAAAATCGTAATATAACTTCACCAAAATATTTAAAAAGCATTCAAAAAATTCAAATTTTGTGCATTATATTATACAACGTTATTCTACGCATAAGGATTACTTTTGAATATGTTATAATTGTAAATATGATATATGCTTAATTTTTAAACACACTAAGAAATTTATTTAATTAACCTTTTTAATTTAAAAAATATTTATAATTTCAAAAAACACTTCGAACTGTGATGTGTAATTATTTGAAGGCCGCGAAAGCGATAATTGCCCTCCAAAAAAGTTACTTGGATTGTTTATGAACTAATATGGGTTATAGAATTGTTTTAAATGAGATAAAATATGGAATGTTACAAAATATGTGTTTGTGTGTTCTGGGGAGAGAGAGAGAGAGAGAGAGAGAGAGAGAGAGAGAGAGAGAGAGAGAGAGAGAGAGAGAGAGAGAGAGAGAAGGGAGACTAAAATTTGCTGAATACTAATAAATAACGTCGTGTTATGTTGTTAATGTAAAAATAATGTTTGCTTTAGCCTACTTTAGTTAGTACGTATTACTACAATTGTAGAAAAAAATTTTGTTTTGAAAATTAAAGGTCCTATAGAAAAACGAATGGGCTTACCTTAAACTTTTTCCTATGGCTGTTAGGAGGAATGTGTTTGTTCTAATCTTTTCGGAGACATTATGTCCTTTTTAGATGGCCCGGTTGAATTTCTCTTGAACAGATAACGTTGTCAGACAACCAAAAAAATACTATTTTATATTTTTAGTCTAGTTTTAAATTTTTACCCCTATTTTAAAATATTTATTTTCTGGATATTTCAGAACCAGTACTACTTTGAAATTTTAAATGAGAACGAATACTTTGTACCAGCTATTTTAAACGATTCTTTACACTGAATACGATGGCGCAGTCAGATTTTAAATTGGTATAGGAATAACAAAGTTATGGCACAGAATGTGAAAAGAAATATCTTAATTACAATTTTGTTATTACGTATTTTCGTTTGCTGTTTTAATCCGTTTTATAATTTTTTTTATGAGATTGATGGGTCTTTCGAACTTTTCTGTGCCCTCGTTGTTATTCTTGATGTTCGAAACATGTAGAGCACTTTTTTTTAATACTACTGTTTATTAACTAAAACGGGTGTACCTCTAGCAGGCTCATCAACATCATTCTAACAAATTCAGGTCAATCAGTTCCCGCTCCATTAGAATGATTTCTCATTTTATATTGGCTATGCATTGTTATGTTATGTTTACACGTTTTACGTTAACAATGACCTACTTAAAAACAAAGCCCTGAGGTTTTATTAAAATTGACAAGCAAATGACATATTTTAAAAAATAATAAAGTTAAAAAAAGTTTCTTTTCATATTATGAGCCATAACTAAGTTTCTTTGTACAATTTAAAATCTGATTGCGCTATCGTTATCAGCGTAAAAGTCCTTAAAACAGTTGGTTAAAAACATATAAATTGGCAATTAAAATTTCAAAGTTGTACTGGATCTTTTTACTAATCCATAGCCGTTATATTAAAGCTCTCTCTCTCTCTCTCTCTCTCTCTCTCTCTCTCTCTCTCTCTCTCTCTCTCTCTCTTCCTTTCTAACTATTTATCACAATTTTTATGAGGGATTGTTGATTTAAATTAAACTTTTTTGGAGACCCTAGGCAAAACAAAGTATGAAGTAATTATAAATTTTTTGTTTAATATAGGTTTTTTCTTTGTTGTGTATTTACTTTGGTTGTTATGTGTATATATAAATATATATCAATCGAATGAATGTTTTAAATAGAATTAAGAAATATTTTTATATATTGTCTACAGAATTGTATTAGATGAGATGAGATATATAAAATGTTATAAAAACGAAAAACTCTTACAGTAAAGGTAGCCAAAATATTTTTTTTTTAATCGGATTCGTTTTAAGCACTTTTAAATTTATTAAAGATGAATTTTTATAGTAAATGAAAAATGTCAATTTTTCAGGTAGATTCGCCGGGGGCATTTTTATTTCTCCTGTGTTCCATTTAAAATTAATAACTCTTCGGGATATTTTGAATGTCTACGTTATTTGGTTGTATGTAGCTAAAAAAATATTCGAACATTCTTCTCCCAAAGTGATACGTTCATCTGCACTGGATCACATCGTTTAAAATAAAACACCTGTTGCGTTACTTTCTTATGCTCTGAGCCAGTTAGTCTTGACATAATCTACTTAGTATGTGAACTTTACGATTATTTTTGTACAAGGATCTTACTTTATATGTATCATGTATGTACATATTATGAATGTATATATGTATATATATATAATTATAATAATAATAATTATTATTATTATTACTTTCAATATTAGAAGTATCGACCACGACCACTTTTTGACTTATGAACACTCTGGATCACGGCATGGTATTGAAGAAGAAAGCCAATTCAGTTGCTACTGCCAAGCATTCGATCTATTTTAAGGTCATCATCAGGACAAAACAACCTTAAATATATCTACGATTTTACAGTCAATCTGTAGACGTATTTAAGGTTGTTTTGTCCTGATGATGACCTTAAAATAGATCGAATGCTTGGCAGTAGCAACTGAATTNAAGTTCAAATACTAAGTAGATTATGTCAAGACTAACTGGCTCAGAGCATAAGAAAGTAACGGAACAGGTGTTTTATTTTAAACGATGTGATCCAGTGCAGATGAACGTATCACTTTGGGAGAAAGTGATTATACAGAAAGAGACAGGGAAGGGCCCCTCGTCTTGAAGAGTGGGAGCGGGCTTTAGGGGAGGTGACAGTATATAAAGAAAGATCGGTCTTCTTGAAATCATAACACAACCATATCTCATCACCAGTACCAACATGAAGAGAGTGAGTACACATTCACAGTAATGAACGCTCTTTACCAAAAGGACGGCAGATACCGATTGATCCCAATATAAATTCGTGCTTTTCAGTAAAATTTCAATTTAAAAATCGGTATTAAAACTTAAATTTTAAATTTACCTTTCTTTTTTCCATTTGATTTTAAACCGCGATTTCCAAGTCGAGAGATTAAACTCAATTTCACTTTTAAAATCTATTTGATATATATCCATTTTTATAAAATCATATTTTGCATATCTAAAAGGAAAAAAATTGGGGTAGAATTTAGAAGGGGTAAATGCATAAAGACACTATCAAAGCAAAGATCCTTTCTTTAGAAACTATAACAGACAATTCTCTTCAACAGCACGGTCATGGCCAAAGTGAGTTCACAACGTCTTTCGATACATTGCACCGCAATGTCTGGGAATATTTTTAAATTCTTTGGTCCAAGACAAATGAGAAATTTCAATTAAAAAAAAAAAAGGTTTGTCACTTTGCTGATGAATATTAGAGTGGTGGACTCAAGACTAGGTTTTAAAAATTCCCCTTCAAACAAACAACTACAGAAGTTCCAATTCATTTTGTCTTCCTTTAACAAATTTTTTTCTTTTTGAGAGAAATTATTTTCATGTTTGGGACAATGATGTTCAATGGGGAAAGTCAGAAAATAACGACGCCAAGCGGCCTGTTCTTCTTCACGCCTTTACATTACACGGTCTCTTCCACAAATACAATCAAGCAGTTTTCCGTTGTATCCACGTTTTTACTGGTTCTTTCCATCCTACATTTAACGAAATGTTTCTAATTCATTTTTTTTCCAGACGGTATTTCTTCTCGCATTGTGCTTGTTTGGTGATTTAGCGAATGCTGAGAAAAACGATAGACCGGCTAGAGGTCTTGACCTAAGTTCAAGGTAATACACTCAATTGACGGTTGTTTAAATCACCAAAGGGGACGATATTGTATTGATTGTGTGTTTAATTATTAGTGGAGGAGGTGGTGAAGAATATGGAGGCGGAGGTTTTGGTAGCTCCGGAAGCGAAGGAGGATCTAGTGGGGGCTGGACTCCATTGAGCAGCGGAAATAGTGGATCTGGCGGCGAAGGCGGGCACGGTCTTTCCTATGGAGGGGTTGGATTCCCCTTAGGCCACCTCGGAGGTGGTGGAGGAGGAGATGAAGGTGGGCATGGATTCTCATTGGAAAGCGGCGGCGGCGGTGGCGGCGGGCATGGATTTTCTCTCGAATCCTTAGGCAGTCTCGGAGGCCACAGTCTTTCCCTCGGCGGCGGCGGTGGATCCAGCGAAGGACACGGATACTCCTTTGGTGGCGGATCTAGCGGAGGACACGGCCTTTCTTTCGGTGGTGGATCGAGCGGAGGACACGGCCTTTCTTTCGGTGGTGGATCGAGCGGAGGACACGGCCTTTCTTTCGGTGGTGGATCGAGCGGAGGACACGGCCTTTCTTTCGGTGGTGGATCGAGCGGAGGACACGGCCTTTCTTTCGGTGGTGGATCGAGCGGAGGACACGGCCTTTCTTTCGGTGGTGGATCGAGCGGAGGACACGGCCTTTCTTTCGGTGGTGGATCGAGCGGAGGACACGGCCTTTCTTTCGGTGGTGGATCGAGCGGAGGACACGGCCTTTCTTTCGGTGGTGGATCGAGCGGAGGACACGGCCTTTCTTTCGGTGGTGGATCGAGCGGAGGACACGGCCTTTCTTTCGGTGGTGGATCGAGCGGAGGACACGGCCTTTCTTTCGGTGGTGGATCGAGCGGAGGACACGGCCTTTCTTTCGGTGGTGGATCGAGCGGAGGACACGGCCTTTCTTTCGGTGGTGGATCGAGCGGAGGACACGGCCTTTCTTTCGGTGGTGGATCGAGCGGAGGACACGGCCTTTCTTTCGGTGGTGGATCGAGCGGAGGACACGGCCTTTCTTTCGGTGGTGGATCGAGCGGAGGACACGGCCTTTCTTTCGGTGGTGGATCGAGCGGAGGACACGGCCTTTCTTTCGGTGGTGGATCGAGCGGAGGACACGGCCTTTCTTTCGGTGGTGGATCGAGCGGAGGACACGGCCTTTCTTTCGGTGGTGGATCGAGCGGAGGACACGGCCTTTCTTTCGGTGGTGGATCGAGCGGAGGACACGGCCTTTCTTTCGGTGGTGGATCGAGCGGAGGACACGGCCTTTCTTTCGGTGGTGGATCGAGCGGAGGACACGGCCTTTCTTTCGGTGGTGGATCGAGCGGAGGACACGGCCTTTCTTTCGGTGGTGGATCGAGCGGAGGACACGGCCTTTCTTTCGGTGGTGGATCGAGCGGAGGACACGGCCTTTCTTTCGGTGGTGGATCGAGCGGAGGACACGGCCTTTCTTTCGGTGGTGGATCGAGCGGAGGACACGGCCTTTCTTTCGGTGGTGGATCGAGCGGAGGACACGGCCTTTCTTTCGGTGGTGGATCGAGCGGAGGACACGGCCTTTCTTTCGGTGGTGGATCGAGCGGAGGACACGGCCTTTCTTTCGGTGGTGGATCGAGCGGAGGACACGGCCTTTCTTTCGGTGGTGGATCGAGCGGAGGACACGGCCTTTCTTTCGGTGGTGGATCGAGCGGAGGACACGGCCTTTCTTTCGGTGGTGGATCGAGCGGAGGACACGGCCTTTCTTTCGGTGGTGGATCGAGCGGAGGACACGGCCTTTCTTTCGGTGGTGGATCGAGCGGAGGACACGGCCTTTCTTTCGGTGGTGGATCGAGCGGAGGACACGGCCTTTCTTTCGGTGGTGGATCGAGCGGAGGACACGGCCTTTCTTTCGGTGGTGGATCGAGCGGAGGACACGGCCTTTCTTTCGGTGGTGGATCGAGCGGAGGACACGGCCTTTCTTTCGGTGGTGGATCGAGCGGAGGACACGGCCTTTCTTTCGGTGGTGGATCGAGCGGAGGACACGGCCTTTCTTTCGGTGGTGGATCGAGCGGAGGACACGGCCTTTCTTTCGGTGGTGGATCGAGCGGAGGACACGGCCTTTCTTTCGGTGGTGGATCGAGCGGAGGACACGGCCTTTCTTTCGGTGGTGGATCGAGCGGAGGACACGGCCTTTCTTTCGGTGGTGGATCGAGCGGAGGACACGGCCTTTCTTTCGGTGGTGGATCGAGCGGAGGACACGGCCTTTCTTTCGGTGGTGGATCGAGCGGAGGACACGGCCTTTCTTTCGGTGGTGGATCGAGCGGAGGACACGGCCTTTCTTTCGGTGGTGGATCGAGCGGAGGACACGGCCTTTCTTTCGGTGGTGGATCGAGCGGAGGACACGGCCTTTCTTTCGGTGGTGGATCGAGCGGAGGACACGGCCTTTCTTTCGGTGGTGGATCGAGCGGAGGACACGGCCTTTCTTTCGGTGGTGGATCGAGCGGAGGACACGGCCTTTCTTTCGGTGGTGGATCGAGCGGAGGACACGGCCTTTCTTTCGGTGGTGGATCGAGCGGAGGACACGGCCTTTCTTTCGGTGGTGGATCGAGCGGAGGACACGGCCTTTCTTTCGGTGGTGGATCGAGCGGAGGACACGGCCTTTCTTTCGGTGGTGGATCGAGCGGAGGACACGGCCTTTCTTTCGGTGGTGGATCGAGCGGAGGACACGGCCTTTCTTTCGGTGGTGGATCGAGCGGAGGACACGGCCTTTCTTTCGGTGGTGGATCGAGCGGAGGACACGGCCTTTCTTTCGGTGGTGGATCGAGCGGAGGACACGGCCTTTCTTTCGGTGGTGGATCGAGCGGAGGACACGGCCTTTCTTTCGGTGGTGGATCGAGCGGAGGACACGGCCTTTCTTTCGGTGGTGGATCGAGCGGAGGACACGGCCTTTCTTTCGGTGGTGGATCGAGCGGAGGACACGGCCTTTCTTTCGGTGGTGGATCGAGCGGAGGACACGGCCTTTCTTTCGGTGGTGGATCGAGCGGAGGACACGGCCTTTCTTTCGGTGGTGGATCGAGCGGAGGACACGGCCTTTCTTTCGGTGGTGGATCGAGCGGAGGACACGGCCTTTCTTTCGGTGGTGGATCGAGCGGAGGACACGGCCTTTCTTTCGGTGGTGGATCGAGCGGAGGACACGGCCTTTCTTTCGGTGGTGGATCGAGCGGAGGACACGGCCTTTCTTTCGGTGGTGGATCGAGCGGAGGACACGGCCTTTCTTTCGGTGGTGGATCGAGCGGAGGACACGGCCTTTCTTTCGGTGGTGGATCGAGCGGAGGACACGGCCTTTCTTTCGGTGGTGGATCGAGCGGAGGACACGGCCTTTCTTTCGGTGGTGGATCGAGCGGAGGACACGGCCTTTCTTTCGGTGGTGGATCGAGCGGAGGACACGGCCTTTCTTTCGGTGGTGGATCGAGCGGAGGACACGGCCTTTCTTTCGGTGGTGGATCGAGCGGAGGACACGGCCTTTCTTTCGGTGGTGGATCGAGCGGAGGACACGGCCTTTCTTTCGGTGGTGGATCGAGCGGAGGACACGGCCTTTCTTTCGGTGGTGGATCGAGCGGAGGACACGGCCTTTCTTTCGGTGGTGGATCGAGCGGAGGACACGGCCTTTCTTTCGGTGGTGGATCGAGCGGAGGACACGGCCTTTCTTTCGGTGGTGGATCGAGCGGAGGACACGGCCTTTCTTTCGGTGGTGGATCGAGCGGAGGACACGGCCTTTCTTTCGGTGGTGGATCGAGCGGAGGACACGGCCTTTCTTTCGGTGGTGGATCGAGCGGAGGACACGGCCTTTCTTTCGGTGGTGGATCGAGCGGAGGACACGGCCTTTCTTTCGGTGGTGGATCGAGCGGAGGACACGGCCTTTCTTTCGGTGGTGGATCGAGCGGAGGACACGGCCTTTCTTTCGGTGGTGGATCGAGCGGAGGACACGGCCTTTCTTTCGGTGGTGGATCGAGCGGAGGACACGGCCTTTCTTTCGGTGGTGGATCGAGCGGAGGACACGGCCTTTCTTTCGGTGGTGGATCGAGCGGAGGACACGGCCTTTCTTTCGGTGGTGGATCGAGCGGAGGACACGGCCTTTCTTTCGGTGGTGGATCGAGCGGAGGACACGGCCTTTCTTTCGGTGGTGGATCGAGCGGAGGACACGGCCTTTCTTTCGGTGGTGGATCGAGCGGAGGACACGGCCTTTCTTTCGGTGGTGGATCGAGCGGAGGACACGGCCTTTCTTTCGGTGGTGGATCGAGCGGAGGACACGGCCTTTCTTTCGGTGGTGGATCGAGCGGAGGACACGGCCTTTCTTTCGGTGGTGGATCGAGCGGAGGACACGGCCTTTCTTTCGGTGGTGGATCGAGCGGAGGACACGGCCTTTCTTTCGGTGGTGGATCGAGCGGAGGACACGGCCTTTCTTTCGGTGGTGGATCGAGCGGAGGACACGGCCTTTCTTTCGGTGGTGGATCGAGCGGAGGACACGGCCTTTCTTTCGGTGGTGGATCGAGCGGAGGACACGGCCTTTCTTTCGGTGGTGGATCGAGCGGAGGACACGGCCTTTCTTTCGGTGGTGGATCGAGCGGAGGACACGGCCTTTCTTTCGGTGGTGGATCGAGCGGAGGACACGGCCTTTCTTTCGGTGGTGGATCGAGCGGAGGACACGGCCTTTCTTTCGGTGGTGGATCGAGCGGAGGACACGGCCTTTCTTTCGGTGGTGGATCGAGCGGAGGACACGGCCTTTCTTTCGGTGGTGGATCGAGCGGAGGACACGGCCTTTCTTTCGGTGGTGGATCGAGCGGAGGACACGGCCTTTCTTTCGGTGGTGGATCGAGCGGAGGACACGGCCTTTCTTTCGGTGGTGGATCGAGCGGAGGACACGGCCTTTCTTTCGGTGGTGGATCGAGCGGAGGACACGGCCTTTCTTTCGGTGGTGGATCGAGCGGAGGACACGGCCTTTCTTTCGGTGGTGGATCGAGCGGAGGACACGGCCTTTCTTTCGGTGGTGGATCGAGCGGAGGACACGGCCTTTCTTTCGGTGGTGGATCGAGCGGAGGACACGGCCTTTCTTTCGGTGGTGGATCGAGCGGAGGACACGGCCTTTCTTTCGGTGGTGGATCGAGCGGAGGACACGGCCTTTCTTTCGGTGGTGGATCGAGCGGAGGACACGGCCTTTCTTTCGGTGGTGGATCGAGCGGAGGACACGGCCTTTCTTTCGGTGGTGGATCGAGCGGAGGACACGGCCTTTCTTTCGGTGGTGGATCGAGCGGAGGACACGGCCTTTCTTTCGGTGGTGGATCGAGCGGAGGACACGGCCTTTCTTTCGGTGGTGGATCGAGCGGAGGACACGGCCTTTCTTTCGGTGGTGGATCGAGCGGAGGACACGGCCTTTCTTTCGGTGGTGGATCGAGCGGAGGACACGGCCTTTCTTTCGGTGGTGGATCGAGCGGAGGACACGGCCTTTCTTTCGGTGGTGGATCGAGCGGAGGACACGGCCTTTCTTTCGGTGGTGGATCGAGCGGAGGACACGGCCTTTCTTTCGGTGGTGGATCGAGCGGAGGACACGGCCTTTCTTTCGGTGGTGGATCGAGCGGAGGACACGGCCTTTCTTTCGGTGGTGGATCGAGCGGAGGACACGGCCTTTCTTTCGGTGGTGGATCGAGCGGAGGACACGGCCTTTCTTTCGGTGGTGGATCGAGCGGAGGACACGGCCTTTCTTTCGGTGGTGGATCGAGCGGAGGACACGGCCTTTCTTTCGGTGGTGGATCGAGCGGAGGACACGGCCTTTCTTTCGGTGGTGGATCGAGCGGAGGACACGGCCTTTCTTTCGGTGGTGGATCGAGCGGAGGACACGGCCTTTCTTTCGGTGGTGGATCGAGCGGAGGACACGGCCTTTCTTTCGGTGGTGGATCGAGCGGAGGACACGGCCTTTCTTTCGGTGGTGGATCGAGCGGAGGACACGGCCTTTCTTTCGGTGGTGGATCGAGCGGAGGACACGGCCTTTCTTTCGGTGGTGGATCGAGCGGAGGACACGGCCTTTCTTTCGGTGGTGGATCGAGCGGAGGACACGGCCTTTCTTTCGGTGGTGGATCGAGCGGAGGACACGGCCTTTCTTTCGGTGGTGGATCGAGCGGAGGACACGGCCTTTCTTTCGGTGGTGGATCGAGCGGAGGACACGGCCTTTCTTTCGGTGGTGGATCGAGCGGAGGACACGGCCTTTCTTTCGGTGGTGGATCGAGCGGAGGACACGGCCTTTCTTTCGGTGGTGGATCGAGCGGAGGACACGGCCTTTCTTTCGGTGGTGGATCGAGCGGAGGACACGGCCTTTCTTTCGGTGGTGGATCGAGCGGAGGACACGGCCTTTCTTTCGGTGGTGGATCGAGCGGAGGACACGGCCTTTCTTTCGGTGGTGGATCGAGCGGAGGACACGGCCTTTCTTTCGGTGGTGGATCGAGCGGAGGTCACGGACTTTCCTTCGGCGGTGGATACGGTCTCTCCTACGGCGGTGGACACGGACTTTCCTTAGGCGGTGGTTCTAGTGGAGGTCATGGCCTCGCCCTTTTGTCACTCGGTCACGGTGGATTCGGAGGATATGGAAAACATAGCTACTCTCTTGTAGGATCCGGATACGGAGATTCCGATTCGAGTGGTAGCGGTTCTGACTACGGTTCGCATTCGAGCGGAGGATTCAGCGGTGGCAGCTCAGGTGGATACGGCGGCAGCTATGGAGGTAGCTATGGAGGCGGTCACGGCCCCCATGTATACGAAGTCACCAAAAGTATTCCCGTCCACAAAACCGTCCAAGTTCCAGTACCCCATCCAGTTCCTCACCCAGTCGCAGTACCCGTCCCGATCAAAATCCCCCACCCCTACGCTGTCAAAATCCCAGTACCAGTGCCGGTCGAAAAAACCGTTCAAGTCCCTGTTGAAAAAATCGTCCGCTATCCAGTAGAGAAGCCTGTCCCTTACAAAGTTGTTAAGAAAGTACCCTACCCCGTACCCAAGCCTTACCCCGTCCCTGTCCCCGTCTACAAGTACAAGTATGTCTATCACTCCAAGAGCAAGCACGATGATCACCACGAATAAGCTCAATCGTTTCTGAGTTCTAATGGTTGTTTCTTTTCTTGTTATTGTTATTTGTTAATATAATTATTTTGTTATCGTCCCAAAAGGACAAAATAAGACTGGGCGCTATGTATATATAAAAGACAATTAAATAAATATTTTGCATATAAAAAACAACTTTTCAATACTCCTACTCCAACTCCTACTATACAATATATATA